CCGCCCGCCCCCGCCTCCTCTCCCCCCGCCCCTCCGGCTCCGGTGTCCCTCCCGGTGCCGCGCACTGACCTGTGACACTGGCCTGGGCCACCCGCTGGACGATGGCCTTCATGGCGGCGCGGCGCGGGCCCGGCGCGGGGAGGTGGCAGCGCTAGGCGACGGCGGCCGCCCCCTGCTGGCCCGCGCAGCGCAGCGCCCCCTGGCGGATGGGAGGTACCGCCGCAGGGCTGGAGCGGCGGGCCTTCGCCGGTACGGGCGGTGCCTGTAGAGAGGCAGCCTCTATGGAAACGGGGCTGCGTACAGACCGAATTCGTACAGAATGGTGCAGAGGGGCTCCTTTCCTCTGAAGGTGGAGCCTTTCAATTTTTTTTTAAATGATTTTTTCAGCAGTACCTATAGAAAAAACAACTGGAGGTACCAGCGCACCCATACCATTCCCTTCCACAGGAATGAGGCGTCCAGAGGTACCATGGAAACTGGCAGCTTCCTTCTGAAGGGAGGCAGCGCCTGCAGGGACTGGGAGAAGCCCCTGAAAAGGAATTATGTCCACAAAGACTGGGGGAAACCGTATAGAAAGGAAAGCTACAGTCACAGCAGGGAGACGGCACCCTAGAAGGGGAGGCAGCATGTATTACAATCTTATAAAGCGACAGCAGCTCTAAGAGCAGCTACAGAAAGGAGATTTAGCAAACTGAGGGGAAGGGGGTATAAGGATAGTAGCCATACATCAGGGGACAAAGCTGTATACCCTGTCTGCTTCTTTTTGAAGGATGACAACAACTCTTACACCTCAAAGATTAAACTACATTCCTTGCCGCTTAATAATTCTTTAATGTTTTATTTTGGACCCAATGGGTTGAGAGAGCAGCTTATGCACAGCAGCCCCTATGCTGGGAAACCTTCACAAAGTGAAGGGCACCTGGCAGCCCCCTGAGCAGCACTCCAGCTCACCACCATCTCACAAGACTCCACAGAACCTAGTTTACATTTAATAATTTGAGTACACGTGCAAAGAACAGCATTGATGTGAAGAGACAAGAAAGCCTGCGAGTTTTGCAAAGGAATTTCGGACAGGGATTTCTGTTGTTTTGTTTCAACAATGTGACAGACCGACAGCATGGCGCCAGATGACAGGACCACATCCTCAGGCTCTCCTGCACAGCACAACGTTCCTCGTTCCGCGTCCCTGACGGCTCAGTTCTCAGAGGGGGGAGTACTACTGCTGGGAGTAAAATACGCTGTCATACGCCGGAGCAGCCGCGTGAGAGGAGGCAATTCCTTGTGGTACGTCATTACCGTGGTGACGTTTAACCCCATGGGTTTACTTGCAATCACCACATCTCTAGAGTACTCTTCGTTCGCCTTGTCATCACTTTCATCTTCTAACGAACGGGGAAAGAAAATGAAACGAAACGAAACAACTTCGCATTAAAACGCGCCATCCTTTCCTCGGGCCAATGCAGCAGCCACAGATACGATCAGACTCCCCGCCATCTTCTCCGCCCAGCGCGCCCGCCCACCTCAGCCAGGCCCCGCCCCCTGCCGGCCCCTCAGCCCACCTCTCCCCTCCCGCCCCAGCCCCGCCCCGCGGTGGCGATTTGAGGCGCCGTGCTCGGGCTCCGAAGGCCGCACCGGCCCCGTACCGTGCCCGCCGCCGCTGCTGTAGCTGTAGTGCAGCACGCCCCCCAGCACGGTCCAGCCGCCTATCGAGTACAGCAGCGCCGACCGCATGTTCCACAGCGCCGCCCGCATCGCCCCCAGTAACTCCCGTGCGCGGGGCAGCCGCTACGCGCATGCACCCTGGCTGGGGGGAGGAAAGGGAGGGGCCGAAAGATGACGGTGGTGTGCGCGCGCAGCCGCGCACGCGCTAAAGCTGAGGGGCGGGAGCGGAAGATGGCGGCGCGCGGAGACCTCGGCCTTACCGGGAACCAGAAGTTGCCCGCCGGCAGGGTGCTGCACGCCGACCTCCAGCCCCGCTGCTCTGCTTCAGAAGTGTTCCGCACTGTATTTTCTTCACGTCCCTCTTTGTTTCCACGTGAAACTTCAGATCCGCGACTGAAACCATGTGTTAGAGAGCAGCGAGTGGCATTATTTGTAGCAGTTGGTACCTCCCCTGGTGGTGTGTTTTCAAAAACGCACATACAGCTCAATGGGGGTCAGCACTCAGTATTAATGCTTTTCTTATCCAGTTTTATTTTCCATTAATTCAGCCCCTGGTTGCCTAAAGCCACCACTTCAGACCACAGATCATTACATATTAAGCTAAGGCTGCAAAGATCTACACCGGATAAAACATACTTTGGCTCCCGATACAGTATGAGAAAATAGCATAAACAATAGAGGTAAAAAGGAGTACAAATAAATTAATATCTAGAAGGGCAAAGTACTAAGCTCTCCCCACGTATTTATTTAATACTTAAAAACCTTAGTCTAAAAGGAAATGTAAATAAATCGTTCCGCTTCCATCGTCACCGTGATGTATGTCACTGCCGTTTTTGCTGCTGGGTTCAATCAAGTCACGCTGCACTGGAGACCGCCAGCTTCTTGAGGTGGTCCATGAACACCTGCAGACTGACATCATCCGTCAGGATTGGGGCTCCTGATTCCTGCAAAGAAATTAAGGAAATAGATAATGAGCGTGAAATAGCGCTGCTGGCCCTGGGGACTAAGCAAAAGCAAAGCAAATGTCAGCACTAAGCTAACTGCCTGCTAAACCTTTTCCCCTTGAAGGGTAGTCTGCTAGTTGACAATATCTTTGAATGCCACCTGCACTGTTGCAGAAAAGTCTCTTCCTTCTAACGCATTAGGAAGGTTTCTGCTCAAGGCTCTATGGAAACAAGGCAGAAGACATTAAAAACTATTATTGATAGAAAAATCAGATCTATACGTATCTGTATGCTAGTTACAGAAAACTAAATACACTAACTATGGACTAAGAGCTTTTACATCAGATTTGTAGCAGAAGGCAAATATAATTTCCACATCAGCTCATCTAAAACCTGTAAGAGTTTCTCTATCAGCTGCTTCCATCAGTAGCAGCCACAAAATACATTCTCCTTGTCTACCTGTGCACTACTTAGGTAACTTGGTTACAGGAAAGATGACAGAGACAAAAGCACTGCTGCTGGAAACCACTCATCTCCTGCTGTCATCAGGCTGCTGAGGTACTGGGCTGTTCTGCAGCACCTCTACTAGGACAGCCACCCTTTAGAAAAAGCAAAAAAAAACAAAAAACCATATCACAATATGCTGAAAACCTGGGGGAAATTCCATCCAAGAACAGAAGCAGACGTTTCATCATGTCCAGGCTTGAAAACTTTATTCTGAACATAGTGTAATCTAGTGCTCACCACCAGAACTCTTTATCTCGATAACCATGGACTTCAATTATCAGGATGAGTAAGAATTTAAGCTGCCTAAGACTTACAAACCTATCCACTCGGCTGTCTTTTAAAATGCTACAGCTATTACAATGTCATACAGTAATTTCATCACAGATCAACTGGTGCACAGAAATAACCTTGTTTCCTTGTATTCCAAAGCACTATTTCAAAGTTTTTCAAAGCCAACCATGTATGTCTTGCAAAAAGCTGTTAGAGCAGGACAAATACAACACACTCCCAGTCTGAGGCCAAATACTATGAGATAAAATGGGACACCAACTATGCAGACAATTATTTGAATGTACGTTTTACCGTATTCCCAAACACAAGTGGCTCTTCCATTGCTTACCTGTCCCCATGCATAGAGGTTATTGTGGGTCTGAGAAGGGTTCACTTTAGACAACAGGAATCGAGCCTATAAAGACAAAATGTGGGAAAAACATTTTTGCAGTATGATAGAAATGTCAGCTCCCCTAACACTTATCTCCTCAGACACATGACTGGTGATGTTTGCCTGCTTTTACAAGGAAAATACTTCTTTAACTGAAACAAGTTTCTGAGTTCAGAAAGAGCTTTGTTTCATAAACAATTTCACTGGACTTAAAAACAAGAATCTGCTTACTTTTAATGGCAATACTCTGAAAGGATAAATGTTTGGGAAAGATTTTACCACACAGCTGTGACTCCCATGGAACAGACAACAGTACTACTACAATGTGTTACAGTTTTACAAACTGTTTTGAAAGAAATAACGTTAAGGAACATCACATAGCAGAATGAGATTGAGGAAGAAACCTGGGAGGAGGAAAAGGAGGAATCAAGTTAAAAAAGTCAGGGTATGCTGCTGTTATCTCAAAAAGAGAGAGAGAATCTGAATGCATTCCTTTCCCTGCTGTTATTCTTGAGTTAGTTGGTGGTGGCAGATTTCTATGAGAAAACTCTCTGCCCTCCATTTCAAAACTGTACCATCACCTTTTAAGTTTCTCCAAGTGCTCTCCTATAGCAAGCAATGCTTGTCAAGCAGGGCAGCTCTAGTTTCATGCAACATGGACATGGCATCAGCAATTTCACTTTGATAGTAAACCCTTTTCCTTACATCAGAAAAGTGGTTAGTTGAGAATCAGGGCAACATGCTTACATTAATAGTTTAGTTTTGGAGCACCAATTCCTGCCTCTCCACTTCTACAAACAACAGGCTAGCAATAGACACACACTGAACTACTGTAATTCCAGGAAGTCAAAATAGAGACCATTTTATATTCTCACCTGGCATGTAAGAATGAAAGAGCAGATGTTCAAACATTCAGCATGACTGACTGCCCTTGCCAACTAACTGCACTCCCTGCCTCAGGAAGTTTAGGTACACAGCAAAACTATTCACTTCCCACCACTCAAGGAATATAAAGATATTTACACTGGCTTTTTTTTTCCCCTTCTCTTTCCATCCTCAGAAGTCAAAAACACATGCAAGGAGCAATTGGCCTATTAAAAGACATGGATACATTCAGAACTCATGGGAAAATATACAAACTCTTACTTTTAAGAGCTAAATAACCACTGTGTTTAACTTACAGAACTGTTTACTTAGTAAAGCAAGAAAAGACTGATATTTGCATTGTTCAACAGAGAAGGTTTTTGGATAAACCTCCTTACCTGGCTGCCCCCATGTTCAGTGTGGACATAACGTGGCATTGGGAATCTGGTCTGCAGGATTTCCTGGGCATCATCCAATGGAGCCTGCAGTAGGTGCTTGAAGTTTTCATATTCAGGCATGTCTTGGTAACCAGCTTTCTGCCACTGTGCAATAGTCTGTTCACAGGGACAGGGAGGAAATGAAGAGATTGCAGAGATGTCGACAGGCCTCCCCTTAACCAGCACATCTTAAGGTAGCAGAACATTACGTGCATTTCTGCTTACACAGAGCAGGACAAACACATGCTTTCACTATTCTGTCAATAGTATTGTTTAGTTTCTGTCTGTTCCTTAAGAACATGCACTAAACACAGAATTGGGTAGCAGGCTGTGCAGTACAAGAGCCGATTGTTCAAAGTGAACTTCAAGCCATTATGCTTCTGCTTACCTCAACTTAAAAGCGTAAAGTATTTATAAATCAGTGACATTCCAAACCTGATTTGGTCTTAAGTGGAACAGTCTTTGCCTGACATTCTTTTCAAGGTCCATACATAGTTTATAGTTTCACTTGCAGTTCATAATTTAACATTTCCACTGTCTAATTTTACCCAGTTGAGTCTCTTGCTTCCCAACAGTTGAGGTAGGTAGGCACTGCTTAAAGTAACCTGTGAAGGCTTATTGTCACTACTGACTCCACCATACAACTCCTGTTTGTGTGGACTGTGCATCACCGCAGGCCACCACGCCAAACTTTAAGCATTCTAGTAACAGTCATAAAAAGTCAGTAGCTCAGTTCAAAAATAAAGAGAAGAGTTAAAACACCTCTCCAAAAAAATCACTAACAGGAAGGTGAGACCATAAGCCAAGCTGAGCTTATTTAAATTTCAATTTGATGTCATGTTTAGGTAGAAAAAAATTGCATGAAAGGTACTCCCCAGACAAGACTGAAAAGAATCTGAGAGGGAAAAAAAGCATCAAATAAAAGGGATATTTCTAGAGAAGGAAGAGAGAAGCAAGTCAGCTTCACCCTCCTCTACATCACAACTTCTTTAGAGTGTGAGATGTTTCTATCATCCAGCTGCAGTAGCTTAGTGCTCCCTTACAAAACCGGTTGGATTCCAACACAGATCTACAGGTCTTCATACTGAAAAGGCACTGGAAAGCCAAGGCTTTAGATATTGATCTAAATATCTATGCACGGGCACAGCTGTAAAGAACAGCCAGTACTTAAAAAGCAGAAGCTTTTAGTTTCTTTTAACTTTTTCAGTTCGCAAGCTAACTCGATGGCTATTTCTCACAGCAGAACATATGCTTAACTACTCCAGTAGGATTTTTATCCATTACAAATGCATGGGAACAGGCATAACGATGCCATTATGCCAAGGGTAAGTTTTGCAAGTGGTTCATTGCATACTAACAGTAGCATTATTTGCATGCATGGCAGGAGGAGGAGAGTTCAGAGAATACATCTCACCGTACCTCACCAAGGTAGATAACTATCTGGAAGAAAGTGTCCATCAGTAGGATTCTGTCAGGAAGAATGCTGCTGCTGTCCAAAAGCACTGGCTATGGAAAATAAAGGTCAATCATTAAAACCTCAAAACTGTATTAACCTTACAGTTCAGCTGTAAGGAGGAATGTTGTGTCTGTCAAGAGCTGCTGTTCATGTGAATGTTTCAGAGAACCACCAGCCTCCTGTGGCATCACTGAATCAAGCAGCAAGTCCTCAGCTACTGTATGAAATACAGTATGTGAGAAAGCAATTTCTATGGCTTTCAAGTTTAATGATCTTGAGAAGCCAAGAAAAATAAGAAATTTAATACATACACTCAGGCAAATGCTGCCAGAAAGGTTTTATAGTGTTTCTGCAGCAGCTTCTGCGTTTCCTTCCTGCCAGATGCACTGCAGTCAACATAAATTAATAACGTCTGTATAGCAGTTGAATGTTGCTTCTTAAACAGCTGAAAACAAGCAGCTGGACTCATTCAATCTCTAGAGGCCCCTTCCAACCCCTACAATGCTGTGCTAATGACCTGGAAGGGCAGAGGCTTGCTGACTTATGTGGTGGAGATGGCAGCCACTGGCAGAGAAGCAGCAGCACTGCTGAACTGCCAAGATGCCAGATATGGCATTAGCTTTTTGGGGCTTCTTTTTTTAGGCATGTATGTGTTTTTTAAAAGCCCAGCTGAAAGTATAATGTACATGCTAAGAGTAAGTCTACTGAAAATATAACTTGTATTGTACAATGCACCATCTCACCCCTTAGTAATTACTTTAACTAAGAAAAACAAAGTAAGAAGCTTTTTAATGAACTACTGTTATCCCAACTGCATGCTCTTTACTTTGCATTGATTCACCTCTCTGTTAAACACAGACTTACCTCAGGAGGTCCGTGGAAAGAATAAGCATAAAGGATGGGCTGAATCATAATGAGAGACTGAGTGAGATCTTGCCTAGCAAAGTGGTGACGGTAATAAGAAGATTCATCTGGACTGTTATTGAAGACCTGCAGGAATGGGGAGCGTCGCAAATGGAACATGAACTGCATCAGAAAGATGAGAAGTGTGAGTTGCCAAAGCTTCTGCACCTTGCAAACAGCAAATCCCCTGAAAAAAGTCTCCCACTGAACTCCTCAGAGTTCTTAACTTATCAGCTTTTTCTAACACTGAACTACAGGACCACCCGACAAATTCAAAAAGCACCTGCTCCTTCCCTCACAAATCCCATTGATGGTACAAGGTGCTTTACCATCATTCACCCTTGCAAACTTTTCCCATAGCTGCAAGAAGGTTCTTACCTGGGGATACAAAGAAAATGATTCCGACAATCTGAAGGAGTTGGGATCATCTTTGTTGTATTGTCCAAATTTCTGACACTGTTGGAAGCAAAATGCAAACTTTGTTTATATCTCCCTGAGAATCAACTTTTTTTTTTGAATGAGTTTTGTATGTTTTCAAACAGAGCAAACAAATCATGAACGTGGCAGCAAGAACTTAACAGGTCAGTAGCTTCTGTATCTTACTGGAGTGACAATGACAATTCAATCATCTTATCATTTTAGGTAAATAAAAATCTTCTATTTTGAATCCAGATTCAAAGTTATTTAAGAATGAAATAGTGCTTCCAGTACCACCCATTTTTTTCCACTGGATCATCATCATACTTAATGTTCTTTGTACACTACGAAACACTTCTGTACCATCTCCTACTTCCTTCTAAAGCAACAGCACTAGATGCTTCACTGAAAGCAAGCAGTTGGTGAATGGTTTATGGGCTGTTTTGGCCTGGTTCCATGACCAGCAGGGTGATCTTTATCAATTTCCTTATAAATTTAAAAAATTTGTATCAACCACAAATGAGTCCACAAGCATTTCAGGATGCAGTATGTGTTTCAGTGCTCAAATTTTTATTTGATATTGTCTCTTTTTTTCCAGCATCTGATGTGCCTGTGTGTGATGTTATGCTCTGTATAGTTACCTAGCACATAACTGAAGAAACTGGAATTCTGACAGGATATAAAAAATAATTATAGTAAATCACAGTAACTGTGATCAAATGTTGGAACAGGCTACCAAGAAACAAGACAAATTCCATCCGTGGAGATCATACAAACTCACCTGAACAAGACCCACAGCATCTAACTGTAACATGAAACTAGCCCTGCTTACGCAGAGTGTTGAGACCTGCAGAGGTCCCTTCCCACCTGTGTGATCATTTTACTATTACGTCTTCAATCTCAAGGTTTAACTCTTTCACCATGATGGGATGCTTACCTATCCCATCACCAACTCACTGATCATACAGCCTTCATAGTTATCACATACTATGAGACCACAATCAGAGCACAAATGAAGTGAGTCAGACTGGAAAAAGAATGGTGTTTTCATCCCAAGAGATCGTTTTAACTGAAAATTAAATGATGCACTCCATCAGTCTTACCAGTCTGATCAGCTGTCTGTCCAGCCATCGCAGCACATCAGGTCCCTCCTCAGACTCAGCTCTGTACACTCCCAGCCGTGCCATCAGCACAGCAGCTGCTTCCTGGTCAAATGCAGCTTCTATGTGCTGGAGCTGACTTTGTGCATCTGCCCAGCTAAAGGATTAGTAAAGGGTTAGTGCAAAATCTGTCATCAGCAAAACCCAATCCACATTTTTCCCCCATGCCAAATATTCTGTGGCCAATGAATGTAATAAAAAGCTAAAACAATACCAGCACAGACAGTGGCTTCCATTTCTGCAATTCTGCCAAAGAACCAGCACGAGGTACTTACTTTCTGGCTATGGTGGTGACACGAATGCGTTTCTGTGTGCTGGAGTGTTGATACTGGGTGACAAACTGTACTGCCCCTCGGCCTCCCTGAGGTATTGGTGCATTGTGCTGCAAATTAAACAAGGAAAGCCTTCAACATAGGCTGGCTTTGTATACAACAGAGACAAATCCAGGGCATCTGCTGAACAGAGTTAAGTTCAAGCTTGAAACGGACCATGGAGGAGACATGCATCTGTTAATGTTGTGTTTTATAAGAGCCTTCAAAGCCAAGTGGTTCTGGGTGCATTTTTAATTCCATACCTGACACTTATCAGCTTACAAATATGCAAACAAGCCCTATGAATATTACTTTGGCACAAAACATTTACCTACTCTGCAACCACCCATTCACAACACAAGAGATGCCTTGGACTTCCTGGTCCTGTTACAAACAGTTGGTATATAAAAATGAAGACAAAAAAAGAAAAGCCAGGGCTGACCTGATTTACCACTTCAAAGTAAATGGCCAGAGTTGTGCAGGGATCCAGACCACAAATTTTCCACTGAGATGTTCCTCCAATTCCAAGTTCCTGCATAGAATTGAAAAGAAAACAGCGTTTTAGTACTTGGCAGTAGTTAAGGTCAGCTCATGTTAAATTCTGATCAGATACACGAGGCAACCTTCCAGCATTTCTTATCTTCAGGATGTGGATTAAGTTACTGAGGGTAATACAGTTAGAAGGCAGCTTTATGGGACAAGAGGTCAGTCCAACAAGCTCTGCCTTTTCTCACATTCTATCTAAGCTCTAGGTTTCGACAGAAATTTTGCACCCTTTGTTTCCTACTTAACATAGTTGTTCTTTTCATGTTGAAAACGTACATTTTCAGAAACACACGGTCCTTTCACATTCAGGGATACACACGGTCCAATAGCACCTGCAATTTTCAGCTCTCTGGATGTCTAGAACAAGACAAAAATAGTTGTTAAAAAAAAATATATCAAGTTAGTCAAATAGAACACATAGACTAAATCAGATGCTCAGCTTTGATCAGAAAGTGATTATGCAAGGCTGCCAAGGAAAGCATCCTTGAGTACATTATCAAGGTAACCTACTGCCTTAGTTGGTGAACGTAAGCTCAGTTGTTGGTTTTTTTAAACCACAAATTTAATAAACTTTTAAATAAAAAATGCCTTCACTCATTCCAATATGATGCTTTTTCCAAAGAAGGCAATACAGCTGACCTCAAAGATGTAGAATTTTCTACACAGATACCTAGAAAACTTTTCCAATCAGCAGCACTCGCACTTCTAAGTTAATGTCAGCTAATTAAACTAATCTCTCACCTTCACTTCCAAATTTGCACCAAAAGCCATCCGAAATTCCCCACTGAGCCCTTTGTTGAATACCCGCTGGAAGGTCTGCTTGAAGAGAGAAGTGTTGAAGGAATCTCCCATCACCATGTGTCCTCTGAGAAGGAAAAAAAAAACCCACACAAGGTAACTGAAACAATTGAGAACTAGAAGCATATCACAAGGACACAACCCCTCCAACTCTCATGCATGCAAATACAGGCAGAAACTGTTTTGAAGCATGCCTTTGCATAGGTAGAATTCGCATTAGGGAATGTAGATTCATGGATGCCTCCAAAGCCAGACAAGTTAGTGCTCCATTTCTGCCAGCTTGCTTTCTCAGCTATATTTCTTGTCATCCTTTCAGCTGCCTTAAAAATGCTCCTGTTTCCACTGGTTACAAACACCCGTACCCAAAAGAGAGCCTTGCTCAGCCTGCTTCCCCTAAGAAAGCAAAATGAGCTGTTAAGCATGAGAAAATCTGGCCAACACAATGAAAGCAACTACCCACCATGCCTGAAGCTCTGCTACTCTGATGGCACTTCAGTCACGCACACACAACAGAGGGGATCTATGTCCCACCAGCTCTGCAAAGGGTACTTGCTACTTCCCAGGGCATTTGAAGGTGACAGAAGGCATTTGCAAGACATGTTGCATCATGCTTTAGAATACCTTTCTCCAAAGCAGGACACTGAGTTTTCTACCAGCAGTGTTAACTCTTACGCTACTTTGAGGCTTCAGAAATGCGGACTGGGATCGGGGGAGGTTTGCCATGTAACTCCTGGCAAATTCAAACCACAATTTAGAATAAATGACAAAAATCTCACCCTTTTGCACTCATAGAAAACTAACTGCTTTTCAAACTGTTCTCCCCCTCCAAAAAAAATAAAAGTACCACCTTTGTGTTTCCTGTTACAGACATACCCAGTGAGGTTTGCACAACATTTCATCTCTAGCAGTCCAGTCTGATCCAGGGCGCAGGCGTAGATATCAATGCAGTGACCATTGGTGGCAGTGCGATTGGCCAGAGTCTCATAGTGCTGGGGAGAACAGACAACACACATAATATTTAGGAATATTTAGGATGCTGCATCAGGCAATTTTTCCTCTGCTCTCCAGCTGAAGTCAACACACTGATGCACAAAGCACAAATGACGCCGTTGCCAGTGCTGCAAAAGTAAGGAGCTGTCTGCTTGAACAGAATTCTTCCTCCTAGGATGTTTGCCTATGGATAAACTTGAGCTGCAAGTTGCAAGTGTAGAGAAGACACGAATTGCTACCATCATACAAGCACAGGCTCTTTGTGATAGAAACCTAAAGATTTTTAGGTGATAGTTAAGAGGACAGGTATCACAGTACTTCCTCTATGCTGACAGGCACATTTCATACCTAATATTTTAACTATTATTTCACATGTCAAGAGAAAAAGGAGCCTTTCTGGAAATCACCAGTTCTTGGAGTACAGGCTTGTTTTTTTCCCCTTTCCAGAACAAGCTAAAAGGACCTCTACTCACCACCAGCTGGACGAGAGCACTGAAATATTTCCGTCTCTGAGAAGGCACAAGACCATACTTGGAGAAGCAACTAACAGTAAGACTCTCATCCATCCTTTGACCATTCTCATAGCTTAACACACAGAAAGGCTCATGCATTTTATGAGCAGCTATGCAAATATCTGGACAGACTGATTCTATACCAAGAAAATAAGACTTCTGTTACCTACAGAAGAATACTGGAAGCTGCCTACATAGGCTCAGTCATCTCCTTCCTCCCATCCCCACTCTGTATTCCACCACTCACATTTCTTTAAACACCCCTTGCCACACAACAAACCTAAGCTGTTCTGCGTGCTTTCTCCTCCAGCTGACACCAGCACCTACCTTGGTGGCCTTCTTCATGAACCTCGCGTTGTCCTTCTCTATGTCATGCCAAGAACGAATGGGTGTTTTCAATTCATCTCCCACCACCATGCCTGGTCCTTGCGTTGGTGGACCGCCTGTAAATAGCATTATTCTCGCTCCTGTGTTTGGAAATGTGCCCTGAAATAAAAATACAGTCTTACATTAGAACTCAGGGAAAAAGATGTTTAAAAGAACAACGTTTTCTTCAGAGAGGAATCTGTACATTATTCTGCAATACCATCAGGGACCTGCCTCTGTTACAGGCAGACCTGAGAAACAGCAACACGTTTCCTGACAGGCACCCTCTAGTTTAGACTCAAACTACAACAATCTTCACTACAGGAGGTAGTATTCTTTTTACTTCCACCTTAGATGACCCTTGCAAAAACAAACAAACAAAAAGAATCAGAGTACATACAATCACCTTCACATGGCAATATATGTAAGGATCAGAAGCCTTTAAACACCTGCACCTTTTACACAGTTTACAGTTAAATACAAATTCCTAGTTCACTCAACATCAGCTGGAACTCATGCCGGACATCAAGCAAAGACAAAATGCACCACTGCACTTCAATGTGACTGGGCTGCAAACCAATCTGCACTGAAACCTGTATACGTTTCAGCACATACTGCCGGGTGCTTGCTTTGCCCAGCTCATCCCTAACAAGCAGGTGCAATAAAAGTACCTCTAGCAAGCCAACAGCAATCGAAAGAGCTACTCCAGTGGAACGTAAAGGCCTCTTTCCCTGGGTCACTGGCCACGGGTCCCTTTGAAGTTCTCCAAGGAGATCTGTTAAATTCATGTCAATCTTCTGTACTGGCTGCAGGAACCTGAAAAATTGAAATGAAATGTTTTCCCGCTATAAGTGTGCCTCTGTTCCTAGCACACTTTAATTACACTGGAAGAGTTATCAGAAGCAAAACATTACACAACACATTCCTTTATGTCCAGACTTTCCAAGCTAAGAGGCCTGTGCAAAGTAACAAAATTGATCAAAGGAACCAACAGGAACTGACAAGAAGGCAAAAAACACTCAAAGCACAGAAAAGGACTTCAGTACTGATTTAATCTACCAAAAGGTAAATGAGCTGCCATGGAAAAAGAGGAGCTGAGAATAAAAACAAACAACTGCATCCAACAGAGGCAAATATGGCTTCACAGTTCAGGGGTCACCGCCTGCCTACCAACTGTTGCGTTTTGTGTCTGGTTTCTGTTTTTTTTTTGACTCATTCAAGCAAGGCTCAAAGGATTGGTACTCATAAACAAGGGCCCCATTAGGTGCTCAACCAAAAAGGCCCCTGCTCTAAACATGTTCGACCCCTGAACAACATGCTTTCCAAAGACAGCTATGCTATACTTTTCAAGGAGAAATCCAGTTTGAATGGCAATTACATTCCTGTAACTGCAAAATCAAGACGCTAGAGAAGGCTGAAATTGCTCTAGTAAATCTCACCCACTTGTATCACTTGATGCAGGGAAATATCTCTGCCAAGACAATACCATTTGTGTTTTTGTAGGAAAACACCTCTTGGAAAAGCTAGGTTTAGAAGTGTGATCCCAAAGGGTATGAAGCACCCACCCTGCTCTGCTGCTGGTTGTGTTTATGTAGCAACTCACCTGCTTGAAATAACAGGCTGTTCTGGAGCTTGAAGAGGCCTTCCCTGCTGAATGGGGACAGCTGGCCTTGAAAGACCAAGCATATCCTACGGAAAAGAAAAAAAAGGAGGCAGAGGAGACTTCAAAATCGAACACTAGACACCTTTTGCTTTCAAGCAATACAGCCTAAAGCCTGCAACCCTGTAGTAATAAAGACATTAAAAACTGAAATAATGAATATTTGCACTCTCATTAGGAAGACATCAATGGTTCTATTACGTGAGATATAAAAAACTATCTTGAGCACGTTTTCAAAAAATTTACAACAGCAAACAGACAGGAGAGGTGTTGAGAGTGAAATAGCATAAAAATAATTAAGAGCACTGAACCTCCTTTCCTCCCCAAATGCCTGGTGCTTGAAATACCAGCAGTGGTGGCAACAGAGCTAAGAGGAACAAACCACTGGCCTAACAGATGGCAGGACATACCTGTATTTGCTTAGCTGTCAGGTCTTTAGTGCCTCTAAACACGTAGCTCTTAGAAATCCCTTCACAGCTCAGCTCGTGAACCTGGATCATTCTGCCAAATGTGATAAGCCCCACTAGAGCGTCAGCAGGCAGCAGACTTAGGGACATCTGGAGGGACTCCTTCAGGGCCTGCAAGTCCTCCTCTTCCAAGCACGTGTCGACAACATACAGGAAGATCAATGGCGTCTGCGGGCCTCGCTAATATGGAGAGAGATGGATTTATGAGGCTCGTACAGAAGCTAGGTGACACTGTCCAATGACTCCAGACAAAGAATAAAATGAGCCCTATCTCAGGCATCTTACATGAGTGTTACTTATTTCTATTATCCTAAGTACAACGAATATGTACAGAAGATACCACAGAATACAATTCTGGAGACCACAAACTACGAATCATTACCTGCACTATATATTCAATTGTTGAAAACTGAGGCATAAGTTCAGCTGGCTGGTTGACTTCAGATATGCCTGCGTATGCTGGAGGAAACTGAAAAACAGGACCAAAAATTAGGACAAGCTGCAGGGCAGAAATGTAGGGCTCTCCTCTGTAGTACAGAGTCTTATGATGTGTTTATTCGATTCTTTATTTACTACCAACCGCACCAACCTGGTTAACTCATCAGAGACCTGTGCTGCTGCTTTGCTAAGCGCACACAACAGTGGCCAGAACTACTGACAGTTACTCAGCCCAGTGTAAGTTAAGAACAGGACTAAAGCAGCAGCCACATTAGCCAAAACTTGCTTAGTTTTGTCGTTTTAGCCGTGTGACTGTTTCTGATGGTACAAGTCTACCCAAATCGAATAAATGTCATACTCAGGAAGAACAGTAAATGTCATGTACCAAAAACCACAATGGAAGCACACGTGATAAAATGGCTTTTTATCTATTTTCTATATTCTCCATGCTATTAAAGTCACTGGCAAAGCAACTGAAAATAAGCAAGATTTCATATATAACAGACTCATTAGCAAGCACTCTGGCCTGGGTTCAGCAAGAGAAAAGGCTACAAGATGAAATCTAGAGAGGCGAAATTTCTGTCCTGAAATGAAATTTCAGGACATTTCATCCTTTGCACAGTAAGGTCATCAATAAAATGCTTTCTGAAAAGATTAAAATGCTGATTCAACGTACCTGATTTCTCTGAAAACAGAAATTGCAAGCCCAGAGCTTGGCCCGATAGTCAACTTGGCTGCAAGGGAAAGGTGAGGCATTAGTATAGGTATAGGAACAATTTCACAACCTAGCTTCACAGTTGTCTATGCTGATGAGGAAGAATCAGAAAACCAGACGCTTCAACTTTATGGATAGTTTTAGGGATTCTGACTTTTGTTCCAATGCCAGAAAGCCTATTAGCTGAGGCAGTCCTGCTGCTTCCAGGCTTGTTATTGTGAGTGATCACCAACAGACCATCGAAGCTTAGGATGCAGTAAGCAGGTTTGCATCTAATCAGTCCTTCACTACGTTGAAGCTTATCTCAGTCATCTTACTGTTCGTACAGCTACAGCACACGAGTGCTCCAGTCATAGAGCAGCAGAAGCCATTCACTCACATCCTGTACAAACACAGAACAAATTAGCTGTTCTCTGCCCCAACGAGTTTCCTCTCCTCAACTCATTATGATACTACATTGACTGCTAGTACAGTGAAGCCTGACCTTATTCTTCCTTCATGGGTTTGACCTCTTCCTACTTCCTCTTGCTAGTCATTCTGGCTTTTTTTCAGCCCAAAGCTAAGCTCTAAGGAAGTATGACAGTAACATGACTTCATGACAAGATTATTCCTCTTACTTTCTCAGCAAAACTCCAGAGAAAATTGATACTCATACTGGAGATGGCCTATAAAAAAGGGGATGTATAGAAAGCAGAAAATCAAATGAACACCACAGCCCAAAGGATAACACCAGTATAAACAGCATCTTTGTTTAAGTTTCACCATTCACCATAACATTCTCTAGGATGATAACAGGATTGCCCATTTCCATATTATCTCCAGCTGAACAGCCTCCCTGAGGACACATCTCTCATCTCAGGCTCTGGCAGCTCAGCAGAGGGTGCCATTCAACACATCTCACCAGGCATGCAATGCTTTCAACATACTCACTATATCTAGAAGAGGCTACCAAGCACCATGCTGAGAAAAAAAGGGGAATTAGGAATAACCATAATTATTAAGGTTGGAAAAGATCTCTACAATCACTGTGTCCAACCATCAACCCACCTACCCCATGCCCACGAACCATGTCTCTCATTGCCTCTCCACTGTTCTTGAACATCTCTAGGGATGGTGATCCTACCACCTTACTAGGCAGCCTGTGCCAGTGTCTCAGTGCTCTTTCTGAGAAGAAATTTTTTCCTATATCCAACCTGAACTTTCCCTGATGCAACCTGAGACCATTCCCTCTCATCCTATCACCGTTACCTGGGAAAAGAGGCCGACCCCCAATTCAGCATACCCTCCTTTCAGGTAGTTACAGAGTGCAATAAGGTCTTCCCCGAGCCGCCTCTTCTTCAGACTGAACAACCTCAGTTCCCTCAGCTGCTCCCCATTAGACTCATCTCCAGACCCTTGGCAGCTTCACTGCCCTTCTCTTCACGCTTCAGAGTCTCAATGCCTTTCTTGCAGTGAGGAGCCCAGCACTGAACGCAGCACTCGATGCACAGCCTCATCAGAGCTGAGTACAGAGGGACGATGCCCTCCCTGCTCCAGCTGGCTGCACTGTTGCCGATACAAGTCAGGATGCCATTGACATACTTTGCCAGCTGGGCACGCCGCCGCTCGTGTTCAGCCAGCTGTCAGCTCACATCCCCACATCCTTTCCCTCCATGCAGCCCTTCAGCCACTCTGCCCCGAGCCTGTAGCGATGCCAAAACACAGACACCCGGTCATGCTGAACATCAACCAATTGTCCTCAGCCCATCCGCCCAGCCTAGAGACATCAGGCACACCGAAATACAAACCAGACACTCCCCAGCCTCCCCGCCCCCCAGCTCAGAGTTGCATACCAGAGCGGGTTGAGCACGGCCTTGCAGGTGGCCCTGCTGCAGAGCACGGGCTCGTACTGCACGGGCGGCAGGTCCGGGCGCTCCCGCAGCGGGGTCAGCAGGCAGGCCAGAGGCACGACCATCCGCGTAGCCTCCAGCCTGCTGGACGGCCACACGTTCCAGCTGAAGCGCACGCCGTCGCGCTCCTCGTTCTGCTGAATGAACTCCAGGTAGGTCGCCATGGGGCCGCGGCAGCTCCGAGCGCAGAGGGGAAGCCGAAGTCCGACACGCCGCAAATACCAGCCCGCCCTCCTTACGGAACGAAAGGCCGACAAAAGGCTCCAGCGACGTCAGGCCAGTCTGCGAACGGCGCCGTGCCGCAGCTCGCAGCCGATGTTCCCGCTCTTTCCGTCAGTGGCAGCTCGCGGTCCGCACCCGAGCCCCGGCAGCACTCACCCACCCGCACAGCCGCCGCTCTCTCCCGGCAGGCCCCGCGCGGTCAGCAACGCCAGCTCAGCGCTATGGGGCTGCCCTCACACAAGATGGCGGCACCCGCACGACCCGCCTCCCGCTCTTCCACCGCCATCTTGGTTAAGGGCACTCCGCGCGCCGTCCTGCATGACACTAACAAACGTGGCGGCGCGGCTTCAGGGAAGCCACGTTAACTATGGGCGAATGGAGAGAAAAGGCGCCCCCACCAGACATGGCGGGGAGGCTTCAGCGGGTGGAAGTGGAAGAGGCGGGGATGACGTGTCTGCCGTTGCGGCTGCGTGCAATGGCGCCGCGCCGGAAGCGTGCTCACAGAGTGGCGGGCTCGTGCTAGCTCACGTAATGGTGTGTGTGCGGTGTGGTACATTGGCTAAGCGCGGCCCTGAGAACAGCGACAAACAGGCGTGCTTCCCGTCTGGATGAAGGGATTTAAGAACGGGTTTCAAGGCTTCCAAAAATTGATAATTTGGGAGTATATTTTCGACATAAATACATCACTTGCAAATTCTCAAATGGAACGTCAGACATTAAACTCACAAATCTGACTGTGGCTCTCTACCACACCTTCATAACCCCTCCTCACCAGAGAGAAATACCCCTCCTTTCACAGTCACGCCTTACCCTGTCACCGCTTTCTGGCAGTAAGCACAACCATGAGCAGCTGTCAAGGGTGAAGCACAGGAATCATTTCATCCAAAATCTCTGACTGACACCTGAGTCAGAACTCACTGAGAACTGCAATCCCTGCCACCAAACCCCACTGCTGTGTCCGTGTCACAAAAAAAGTCACGTATCTCACTGGCGCTCATTTTTTTTTCCATGTTCTTATAAAAAATATATAATTAAAAGTTTTGTTGCTTATATACATATAAGTGTATAAGCACTGAAAGTAATGCCTCCCATTTATTTCCATGAAAACTACAACAAAGAGCACAATGACACTATTTAATAGAGCAAATCCTCAGCTACATAACACTATTTTTCAACAGTCACCTCCATTAGCTGCATCACACAGTGATGCCAGCTGATGTCACTGTCACCACCGCTGAAACACACCACCCACCGCCTCACTGTGCTCACATCTGCTGTCTGGTCTCCTGAAATGCTCAACAAGTATCAATGAATATCAGTGGGTACCATTTTCTCCACGTACAGGCATTCAGTTCCACACCTTTGCTCCATATGCACTTCCATAACAGACGCCATTGTGTCAGACTGCCCTTGTGCTGCCATCACACAGCAACAACATGTAACGGGATACTGATGGGAAGGTTCAACCTCTACCACCATAACATCATCTGCCTCTGATTTTGTGGACCAAAATATAAGACAGGAGGCATTACATTCAGAGCAATCCTCATATTTTTATATGCAGCCCAAGACAACTCCCCTTCACTCCACAAGGCCCAGGCAAGCTAACTGGTTGGACACCCATAGCCTAAGAGCTCTCTTTTCAGAGTCTCAGAACAGCCATACCCGGGTGAGGCAGAAGATGGCACTCAAACAGCATCAGGTAAACAACCATTGCTCCACCAGTCCCACAGAGGTAAGAGGTGTAAGCAGACTAAAATGAAAAAAAGAAAAAAGGGAAATCTAAATAGCCAATCAACCAGAGTTTTCACTATCAAAGCTTTAAGTTTGCCATTAACGTCTTAAACTTTGGACTGCAAAGGCTAGGCACGTTAAACAGTACCTGTGAGCTGTACTTTCTCTCCATTCACAGTACAGCCTGACACTGCAGTTAATGCTCCTGGAAACATTAAACATTTACATTTCATACCACATCGTAAAGGGGGCGGCTTTGCCAGGTAGAAAAGAAAACTGAAGGAAGTCAGGAAGGAAAAAAAGATTGAACTTATTAATGTTACCTTTTTATATTTATTCCCTTTTTGAACAAGGTGATAGGCCACGGAGGTTCATGAAGATCCAGAATGACAGAAAGATCGTCCCTCTCAATGAAACAGATCATACAAGCTCCTATTTTACAAACAGCAAAGAGAAATTGCTTCACTTTTCCCTATAGGTACATTTTTTTTCCTAAATTTAAGACATCTTGTTACAGCTGCAACACTGTGAAATAACTTTGTGGACCACAAAGGTGAGGCCATCTAAACCAGATGAAGCCAGTACAAATGAAACAGAATTGAGAGGGTTTAATAGACCAGCTCTCCACTCCTTACAGCCATTCCCAGAGAATAGGCAATAGGCCCTGCCTCCTTTTTCTCACTGCCAGTAAATATGGCCATACTGCATGAAGTGACACACTTGCATGATGTATCATTTCCATGAAAGCTGTCTTCTACTGAGGCAGAGCACAAAAAATTTACATTATTTCTGCTGCTGCAGGATGCAGACTGTTGTGTTAGGTTGCCTTCGTAAGAGGCAATCCCAGCCTCACACCTCAATGAAATTATCTTTGGCCACATAACAGATGTCTGAAGCTGAGGTTAGGGTCAGTGAAGCAAGCAGCAGTTTTCTCAGGCTTCAGTGTGCTACATGGTTAAAGGCAACAGAGAAAGAACAAACACCTCATAATTTCACCCCCCACTTTGTGACAACACTTCTTCCTCTGTAGAAAGAGATGTATGCCTGTCACCTCAAGAAACAATGCTGCCAACAAAAGAAACAGCCAGCTGTGGGTGCACACACTAGCTAACACCACCAAACTTGTTCCCATTCCGTTCTAGAAGCCTGTCCTCCAGAATAAAACTAGCTAACTGCTTACTACTTGGAGTCAGAATTTCTTGCTTGACAAAAATTCAGTTGCAGAAGCGCTTGGCCACCACCCTCCCCAAAAATGTCCTGAAGGGCTTATTTTCAGACAGAGTTCTGAAAGCAGACAGATGCAACAGGTCCACTATTGCGATCAACCCCACTAGTGGTTTCTGGTGAGTGCTGGGAGGCCATCACAAAGATAAAGTAGTCGGGTAGACATCCTGCAAAGCTAAGCCAGAGGCAGCAAGTTGTACTGAGACTGGGCTCTCTCAACAGAGTTAACGTATCTACATTGCTCTGCCCACTAGTACTTCAGCCCAGCCCTCTGTTATTGTGGATGGTGGAGAGGTGACTGTACCATACATGCACAATATTCTCATTTATGAAAATGAGCTGACTTTTCAAGATATTGCTTGATTACAGGACAAGGAAGAGGTGACATAATTAATTTCCATAACTGTTTGTTCAAAAGCCTGTTTACTTTCAAAGCAGGATTTGAACACACATTTCCAAAGACAGTATCATACCTCTAATGCTGCCAGATAAACCAGTCAGAAAATTGTATCTAGCTGCCTCAAAGAACAAGTCCGTGTTCCAGCATGTCTTTGGCCACCATAAAAGGGCAATAGGCTTATGAAAACACAGTTAATACATTATGGCCAATTCATGAGTCTAGAGATGCACAGAGAAGGAGCATATCAGGCTATGCTCAAAAGAAGCACAAATTCACCTGCATTAGAAATAGCGTGGCCAGCAGGAGCAGAGAGGTAATCACCCCCCAGTATTCAGTACTGGTGAGGCTGCACCTCGAGTGCTGTGTTCAGTTTTGGTCCCCTCACTACAAGAAAGACATTAAGGCACTGGAATGTGTCCAGAGAAGGGCAACGAAACCGGTGAGGGGTCTGGAGCACAAGTCTTATGAGGAGCAGCTGAGGGAGCTGGGATTGTTCACTCTGGAGGAGGCTCAGGGGAAACCTCACTGCACTCTACAACTGCTGAAGGGAGGTTGTGGTGAGGAGGGGTTTGGCCTCTTCTCCCAGGCAATGAGCAGGACAAGGGGAAATGGCCACAAGTTGTGCCAGAGGAGGTTTAGGATAGACATGAGGACAAACTTTTTCTCTCAGAGAGTGGTCAGGCACTGGAATGGCTGCCCAGGAAGGTGGTGGAGTCGCCGTCCCTGGCAGTGTTCAAGAGGCGCCTGGAGGAGGAGCTGTGAGATCTGGTTTAGTAGCAGTGGTAATGGGATGACGGTTGGACTAGATGATCTTGTAAGTCCTTTCCAATCTTGTGATTCTCTGATTCTATGAAATTGGCTCTACATCACAGGAAGATAAGACTATGCTTTTTGATGGTATGCCACTATCATGCCTTCTTCAGATCACAAACCGTATTTTCGTACAAACAGCTGTCACTGGTACTTTTTGTAATCCTCAGGGCATAAAGACAGCCTATAAAATTTTTCACTGTACCTGGTTACCAGGACAGAAGAGCTGTTTCTCATCTGGAAAACACATCTTCCCAGAATACTTACATTCAGAATTTCAGCTGACATTTATGTCCACGATGCAGCTGCCAGAACACAGAGCACTGATTAGATAATCCTGTAGCTGTCACACAGTAAATGCAACAGAAATATCACCAGACCCTGACAGCAGTGGAGAAAATGAAGCATAAAAATAGATAAGAAAAAAAAAATCAAATACAGTTTTAATCATAAATTATAGCAGGTAAGAATGATGGTAAAGAATCATTGATTTCTATTTTACATAGGGGAAAAAAGTGTCAGCTTTAGGACTTAAGCTCCCACCAGCGCTGTCTGAAAGCAAAGTTCAGGATCTAATTCTTGGCAATGCTCAACAGCAAGTTTTTCTGATCAGCCGATGACTTATTTTCTTTCAAAGTCCCTGTTGAGTACTCAACACAATCCTTAAGTGTGATGCAGCACCACACAGCTGTTCTGTGGCACTTCTCAAGTCACGCACCCGCATTTTGTACAAGATGGGATCTATGCTTTCACTTCAGCCTTGATCTTCAGTGCTGGTTTGATTTTCAGTCCATTTACAGGACTGCTCACACAAACTAATGACGCAGCATTAAGTTTACTTAAAAAAGGCAAAGGAACTTCACATCTTGAAGTTGCTCACAAATTTAGAAGCTGCTTTGTCATCTTAGCTGTGAAGAATGGATCGAGTTTACAGATTTCTTTCACTCTAGAACTCCAGCCATTCTGTCATATAAATACAGTTAGATGGAGAAATCTCACCACCTTCATGGCAA